TTGGATGCATTTTATTCGCGTGTTGGTTTATAGCACACAAGCCATCAGCAAATACGCCAACTGGACACTCAACACGTCTTACTCACTCGATTACAAGTACCGGTGGCATTTTACAGGAATTAAGTAGTTTTGCTGATGCTGTTGTTAATTTTATCAGAATTTGATCTTTTAACTGTCTGCTTTAATGGAAAAAAATTATAAAAGAGAGACGAATAGAAAGAGAGAGAGAGAAAGATAAAACCACTCTAAACAAAAATAAAAACATGACTAGAGGAGTATGGTTGTGAACAACCACAAAGCTGCTTCGGATGCAGAGCATTTTGAAAACGTCATTCGTACATTTTGTGAGCTGTTTAATTCATGAAATAAATGGAAAACAATCAGTTAAAACTGTACAATCTGTGTCATCATGACACACAGTATGTCAGGTGACTTCATGTTAAATATCGTGTACAACACATGTACTTCTCTTTCTAGCTACCTGCAAAATTTCAATTCAATCGGGTCTGCACTTCAGAAAAGTGCTTTTAATTAAGGGGTACCTGTAATGTCACATGACTTGTCAGGTAGTGACATCATCCTCACGATTTAAATATTCGTCTGTAACAATTCCCTTCCTAGCTATCTATAGAGTTACAACACAATCGTTAGGATATAGTTTGTGAGATATAGTTCTTTGAAAGGTGCACGTTTAATGTCAAGGGACTTATCACCTGAGGGTCTTATCAACCCATGCTATCCAATTTCGTCTGTAACGCTTCCTTTTCTGTGTTTGTGCCAAGTTTCAAACCAATGGGGCATGTACTTCAGGAGATATAGGGCGTTAAAGAATGCACTTTTGACAACATGTCACCTGTTACTTGATGACGTCATCGTCACATCAGGTTAAATTTCGTCTTTCAAAAGTCTGGAAAAATATTTTAAACAGATTTATCGTAAAGAATATCAAATAAGGAAAATTTTAAAAAAAATCTGGTGGTAACATCGCCAAATGTTTCAAATGTATCACAACCCTGTTTGCAACCATACCATTGTGCTATAGCTCTATGACCCATCCAGATTTTAGCCTCGTTAAACTTGATGTTCTTGAGATATTGGTCTGCAAAGAATTCAACTCTGCAGGAATGTCATGTGATCTCAATAACGTCATCAAGACATCAGTGTTCCGAGACAATTTTAAAAGAAAAAAAGATTTGTTCAGATCAGGACAGTACTCTCTACAGATCTGGATGTGCTGATCGAGAGGTTGGAGGGGTTTCAAGTGTCCCCTTCAGCTCAGTCATTTCAACAGAATTGTTGGTTCACAAATGGGCCCACGGGAGTCTAAATCTAAATCGGCAGAATAGGGCAAGGCATCGTGCACAAAAAGTATCAGAGGGTTACATCTAAGAGCATGCTTTGTCATTTTTTCTATAAGAGAAAACAAATGGCTGGAGAAGGAACACGTACACCTATTACATGTAAGTAATCTAGATGGTGCAGAGCAAAGGGGAATTCTAGACACAAAATACTCCTGTCACTCATGATACTCATCTGATATTGTCACACACTAAAGGCCACGTTGTGATTTGAGTCAAACTTATTTGGCATTTCTCTCAGACAAACAGATTGAAGTACAGCGTACTCAGAAATTAACAAAATCACTTTCAGTCACCAAGAACAGGGGTAGATTTTCAAATCTTTAGATTTATTTGTGTAAAAAATCAAAATCTTTGGCATAAAGAACAATCAATTTTAAAATAGCCAATAAGGTTATGTTTGCTAAACAGGCCTATAAGCTATGAAATGGGAGTGCTCTGTATTTTGCCCTGCCTATTTGAAAAGCTGGGGTAATTGCTAGTTACACATGAACTCATACAAAAACTGACTCAACTGATAATTTCCAATGGTTAACCATCTTTCTGAGTTTTAGGTGAGGCATTCTATAAACGTATGAAATTCACAGGTGGAGTCAGGATTGTAGACACTGCTTTCATACTCAAGTCAAACAAAACAGGAATAAATTCACCAACAGATTTCAAAGGGTATGCATGTATGCGTAGCATTAACATCAAAGGTTACTTGAAAACACATACTGCACATACCTGTTGAACACAAAGGCCTGCTTATAAAGTCGTGTTATTTTCTACTGAGGTAAAGGTTTCTGTGCGTGCATTTTTCTTGCAATGATATGATGAAAAACATGACTTTCAGTGGTACCCTAAATTAAAGTGCAAACTTTTCAAAGTGAGGTATTTCTTGCAGCTACATATGTGTTTTTGCTTACATAGCATAAGCACTGTGTACCAATGTCCAAATAAACAATGGGCAACTGAACTTTTGAGTCCAGTTTGTCACACCACTCTGGTGGCATCTTCCAGGGAATCTCTGCTTGGCTGATACCCAATCTAGAGGATACAACTTGCTTTCACAGGGTACTAACACATGTATCAGCTGCAAAAACAAAATGTTGTTAATGCATGTAGACTATACCATAATACAGTAAAGATGGATTATGAGTCGATTGTTGAGTTACTTCAGTTGCATTAAGGAGCATGTCGCCGACAGGTTTCAGTAGGCCTGTTCCTAACCATTGGGAAAATATCTCAACAGGTTTATGCGAAGCTTTTGATGAGTCATTCATACAAATGTGGGGGCCATACAACTCAGTATGTTCTTTACCTGATCGGTTAATCTCATTGCATACCCCTGTTATTCTGTTGTCATTAAATTTCCTCTTCTTAACAGACTATGGTTTGGGAAGACTGATTCCACTGAAGACGTTAAGATGGAGATTTCATACACGTTCAACAAACTAAACAATGTGAATGCGTGATCATGCTAAATGTCCATTGTGCCCAATGTAAATATAATACATTGACCCCTTTGAGGGTAAATAATTTGAAGTGAATATTATTGCACATAATAACATAATCGAGGAAAAACACTGCTATATCAGCAACACGCATGGAAATTTCAATTCAATATTACGCCTGTGTCATTTCCAATAAGTGTCCATGGGCTTTCATTGATAGGCCTCCTCCATTAATAGGCTTTTCAGACCTGTAAGGTCGGGTAAACCCGACAGTTATGGAAGTAGGCCTACATGTCATGTATATTCACCACTGTATGATGCATGTCAGTTATATCCTACAGCATGAACAGGTGTAAACAAACATGCATATGTGCACATGTTTGTAGTGGTGCTTACAACTGTCATCGATTGATATTGTGCAACATGATCTGTTGATCCACGTGAGCTAGCGCTGCCCTGCACCTACACTAGGCCCTCATCGATAAATGCTGTTTGCAGCTATACGCCTACTCCATATTGCGTTCTACCATCATCTCTACTCACAAGATCGACAAAATGACAGATTAAAACTGCCAAGACACACACTATCTCAAAATACCTTACATCAATATAGTCATACAGACGAGGTATTCTTACTTACCACAGCAAGTTGGATCCAAAATCATTTGTAAAGCTTTCAAAGTATACATGACCGGGCCACACCCGACGGAGAGCCAGTCCAAGTAACTGGGACTAGGCATGAATTTAAGGTCCCCGAACCATGCCTGAATGTTAAAAAACGGTCCGGACCGTATAGTCTTTGGTCTGTCATGTCTATGCTTGGACCACATGCGCTCGGGTTAGCACGAACTACGCGTCGCAGGGCATTCGCGCTTGTGCCCCGGCGGCAGCCGACAGTACGTGTACGTGTGCGTACAACCTGAGGCCCAAGGTCACTGTGTATACGACATTGACAAAAAGTAATTATCAGACAGTTATTCTTCTATATAGAGATATAACTTCACCTACTTGTATCTTAAATATAAATCCTGCCAACCTGCTCGTATATCTGAAATTGCTGAATTGAAAATCTGTCAAAATTGGACTTGAATATGTTCGAGAATGATAACTAGAAGACAGTACGCATGCAAATTCGTATGCAAATAAATCGTTGACAATTAATAAAAGATCAATAGACTGAGTTATAAGGATGTTAGTTCAGGCAGTACATTTCATAAGGATCAGACATTGTCTATAATGCATGATTATAGATCTTGACTTTGATGACGTCATAGTGAAGTCACAAGATTTTCCAACAAACCGACATACCTAATTGGCCTACTGGAGGTCTAGCAAAATGGACTTTGAAAAAAAACATGTTTTGTTTAGGAGATACGTCAAAAAAGAAAGTCAAAACGGAAAAAAAATTAAAAATTGCGAAAAATTCGGGTAATGACGTCATCATGACGGCACTCAAATTTTCACCTATAACGCGTTTGAATTAGTTTCTGTGCAAATGGTTCCAGAGATACCAGCTCGATAAGAATTCAACTTTGTGGGTTTGTCACGTGACAAGTGATGACGTCATCATGAAGAATTATCTTCGCGGCATATCCTTGTGTGAATCTGAATCTGCTTGTTTTGAAGAAGGTACTCAGTTACCGAAAGCTCGGCAATCACATATTTCAGAGCACTGATTCGATATTATATTCTTGTCGATATTCTGATCACGGTGCTACGTAGCCCTTCCGTATATCCTTGGGTGACCCAGTTCGTAACTGTGACGTCATATCAGTTAAAATCACACCCAATGCACCTACACTGCACCTAGAGTTACATGCATTGATCGCCGTTTACATGAAACCATCGAACCGGAAGTTAACGCGCAACTTCAGTGATCGTCTAATAAAGCCTGAAAATCGTGGCGCGTCCGCCTTTGCTTATAAGTGGAACTGTGAAAAAAGAAAGGCAATTTGAGGTTTTTCTGTTCATGTCTGTGAAAAAAGTGTCTTATAACAATCGCTAACCAGAAAGCGAAAACAAAACTTTAAGCGACTCATACTGGAAACAAACTAGCAACTATATCAAGGCTGTACGGACCCGCATAAGCGATGCTTCCTTAGCGGCAAGTTTCGTCCCAGAGAGGTCGTGATATTTGTTGGGGTAAAATGTGTCAGGTAATTGTTCTTTACATGACTGAAGAAATTAAATTGAACTTTGTTGGGTATTATACTTCTTGCTATGTGCATTCTTTTCTGGAGTGAGCGGACGATTATTTGACAGTGGTATAGAGAATCTAATTGTCAAGCTTTTTTACATACGCATTATCTCCCAGTTATGTAGTTTCCAATTAACCGTTTCTTACAACTCGATTATATCTAGATACGATTAATATAGCATATCAAACTGATTCTCCGATTTATGCAATTAAAAACAGTTGCCTGCAAGGTTCTATTCATTATTAACACTAAGGTTAGCATTTTTTCTGATAGAGTTTCTATAGGTTTTCGCGGTTCCTTTCAGCAAAAGCCTCAATTTGAATAAAACACTTTCAAGTTCGTGTACATGTTTTTAATCTTTTTCGTTCTGTTTTTGCCTAAAAATTGTCGCTCTCAATTTTGCTTAAGTGCACATAAGCGCGTATTTTAATCAATGTATTTCGTTTAGAGACATGCCACAATCCATTTTCACTATGAGGAATTTTGACTGACTTTTATGAATTGGGGGGATTGAATTATATTCATCGAAGGCAAAGGATTTTTAATCTGTGAGGCGTTTTCGTTGAAGTCATCTTTCAGAAAATTGCCCGCGAAAACCTACAGTACACCGCCACTGTTAGCGTAAAATATACACTTTGAACCGAAATACTCACAGATTCACAGAATATAGGAATTCCTCAGTGCTATACCGGAAATGTTATAAGTAATAACCGTACGATATAAATATTAACAGTCACAGAAAATGTGTAGTTACTGTGATTAACCACTCTATATGTGTGTATATCCATGCAATATATCCAGAAACAGGTGCCTATTAAAAACACGTTCAAAATATTTTCCAACAATTAGGTTCCCTTAAGCATTAACATTATGAAAATTTGCCCACTGCTTTCGAACTGGGTGTGCAATTTGTAACTTTTTGCTATCACTTAATACACTGTCAAAATCCCCAATATTTTCCTCACATCCGAAAAATATTGTCAAACAGTTGCAATTATTTTACATTGGAATGTTAACGCGACGCAAATGTCAATACTCTGCCAATCTACTCCGTTTAATGACTAAACTGCAAGCAACATGGTTGCATACACAACTTATATTCAGTAGCTTTACACAACAAAGATGATTGAAAGTCATAGCAGGTGACTGAAGAACGTAAAATGTCCCAAACATGCGAAACTTGTTTCTAGCTTAACCAGAGTAGGTCTGAACAGGTCTCGTTTTTGTGTGTTATGTCAAGCTTAAGAAATGGTTTTTTTTTCAACACAAAACAACTTTTTCTTCAGATGTTATGAAAATACTTTCATAATTTTCCCCTTTTTAACGAATGATCAACCGCCCGTGTGAACATCGTTATTTCTAGTTGGTCTTTGCAACCATGGTGTATCTCAGAATGAACTAGCCATGGTCTTTATCTGTTGAGTTGAGGTTTGAACGTTAGAGTTTAATGTTGCCCTAGTGTTAGTGTTGCCACGAGCGTTCATTTCCACGTTACTGGAAGCTCGATTTGTAAAATAATTTTTGAGTTTACTTGGACCACGTCTGGTGATGAAAGCCTGTTTAAATGCTTTACGGTATCGTGGGTTAGTGATGTTATATACAATAGGGTTAACGGCAGAGTTTATGTAGACCAGGATGCGGAACACCTGCATCCACACGAAGTCAGTCCTCTTTGCTTCGGGAGTGAAGAGGAAGGACATCGTCGTGATCTGGAAAGGTGCAAGGCACAGGAAAAAAATGATACCGTTGATGACCAGCATGCGACTCACCCTGTCCCGTATGTGCTGGCTTCGATCGCTGAAACCGGATCGCTGAGCTCGGGCAACCATGCTGTTTAGAGCCCGGATAATCATACTGAAGAACACGACGTTGACAGCCATTGCGACCACGAAAGGCACGGTGTGCAACGCATCGGCGAAGTCACCCAGCCATGCACCCACGTCCAGCCCTAAACAAAGCCCCATGATATTCGGATAATCTTGGTATCTCGTCTCATTCGGCCAACTCAAGCAGATAGCAGTGAAATTGCAGACACTGGGGATGAGCGGGCAAGCAAGAGCAAAAGAACAAAACCAGACGATAGACACGAGACGAACCGGCCGAGCTCGCGTGCTGTGCTCGCGGTGGGCGTGGGGACGACAGGTGGCATAGTATCGCTCCAGAGTAACGAGGGTTACTAAAGAAACGGATGCGAAGTAGCAAACATCCATCACCAGATGCAATAGAACGCAGCCGCTTGCCCCCAGAAAGTACTCATCTACAGCTATGGGCGAGATGGTGTAAGCAATGATCTTCTCCAAGACAGACACAGACAGAAGAAGAATGTCGGCGATGGCCAGATTGGTGAGGAAGAAGTTAAGCGTTGTTCGCATCCACGTAACTCTCCATAAGACGAAGAGAAAGCCAAAGTTTCCGATGAGACCAAAAGCAAGGATCCACGGCATGACGACAGTTACCAGTGTCTTTTCTAGGGAGTCGTACTCCAACGAGGCAGCATCTTCCCCTATGGATACGTTGAAGGACATGTCGCAGAAAAGTTCCGATGTGTATGAGGCTTCCATTCTGATGACAGTGACGGTTGTGAAAAGGAGCAATCAATACAGTGCGAATGGTGCGGGAGGATGTCTATCCCGGAGACAACACGCTCTGCGTTCAAATTCTGTCGCCCGTCAACCAATGGTATTTGTAGCTACTGACAAATTCTCGCCCGCTACACGAGCTTTTATTGCCAGGTACTGAGCCTGTAACACGGCGATCTGCCTGCACCGGCATTTTCCGACGGCCATTGCATGTATCATCACAAATTTTCAGGGACGATAAGCTTAATAAAACAATTTCCTACAAAACCATGTATGCTTTCTAAACCTAAACTGTGCCTATAGGGAGGGACTAGTAGATTCAAGCGACCCATGTAATGTGATTTTTAAAAGTAGTTCTTGTCTTTTTTGTCATTCTTGAAGGCATTTTAAAGCATTATTATTTTTTATGCCCATGATAACATGCAAATTCACGAGCAAAAGCACATTTCACTAAGAAGGAACCTCACTATTTATCTATCTCAGCTCGGACATTTTGTCAGGCTTTTAAATTTTTCCTGACTTACTTTCATTCTTTGGTGACTTTTCTCGTTTCAGTCGACAATATGAGACTTTGAGACGCTTGGCGGCGGTAAAACCACGGACATATCAACGCATAGACCGCCAGGTCCTATTCAAAACTACAGGTGGTTTTCGTAATCTGCGCGGCGCCCGACTAAAATCAAAACTATGAGCAAACTCACCCCTCGGTAAAGGGAATTTACGCACAGTTGAAGAATTCCAGCAGTAAATTTCAATGAAGCCATTTTTCGTTTGCAATCCCCCCTTTACTTAATCTGGCCCATAGGGATTCAAAACTGCGGTTGCAACATTTGAAAAGAATAGATAGCAGTGCCGAAGAGCAAAAAAGGTGAACATATTTGGATGGAAGCACATGTAAACAAATACAGGCAATGTAAATGCGTTGCGCGTAAAGCGCACAGGACACGCTGCCATCTGTCGCTTCGCTCATTGTTTGCCCATCCAGTTCGTAAGTGACTTTGGCTGCATCCAAATCTGTTGTCTAGAGCTAGGTTTATAGGTCTTCCTTCCAATGGAAATGTGCGGAGATGCGTAGACATTAAACCTAGCCGTAGCTCTGGAAGCCCGTTTCAGACACGGCCAAAGGCGGACGCGCAATGATCTGTAGGATCCCATTGGACGATCGCTGAAATTGCGAGTTAAGTTCCGGTTCAATGGTTCCATGTAAATGGCAATTAATGCATGTAACTCTATGTGCAGTGCATGTGCTGTGGGCGTGGTTTAAACTGAGGTGGCGTCACACTTACGAATCGGATACTTTTCAAAATCACGGTCTTACGCGCAAGACCGGTGGTCTATGCGTTTATACGTCTGTGGGTAAAACATATCGGTCCTTCTCACCAGTTCTGAACATGCGCTCGTTGTTCTGAGCATGCCCGTGTAGTTCTGAGCACGCGCAATACTGTCAAAAGGGCCGGTATGTCTGCTGCCATGGGCGTCTCAAAGTCTCCTTTTGGTCAATGAGCAATGTTTTTCACGAATATTTTAAATGAGCACATATTTAACTCACAATTTAAAAATGTGTCCCCGGTGTACTTTGACAGGGTCGAGGTTAAGCCAATGATACTTAATTCAAACATAGTTTGTATGTCGATATCTTCCATTTTTCTGGATAAAGTTACTCCCTGTTTTCTAATTAGGTTCACATCGAGTGAGTTTTCTGTCACTCTGCATGACTTTATATTCGTTTGACATTCTGCTTGGGTTCAAGAACACGAAGAAGCAAAAGGTTATTCTCATCCTCTAGAAGAAATGCTCTTTGAAAAATTCCTTGAACGACAGGGGGTGTACTTGGTCTTTATAGGACACTGTATGGGTAGAACGACTTTTAACATGACGTTTGTTACTCCAATGTTACCGGTATGGTACGAGATCAATGGTACGAGATCAGTCATTCGTACAACATTGTCATCTCCCGCTTCAGATTATTATTATTCATTATTATTATTATACCACACTTATATAGCGCCCTAATCCAGAAAGGCTCGAAGGTGCTTTACAATATAAGACAATAAAAATAACACCTATGTTAATATGTTAAGAATACAATTACAGTTGAAATAATACATACAAAATACAAAGATATATGCGAAACTGTGGTGCCAAAAACAACACTTCTCGGTGCCACCAGAAGACCACAACCAAAATGTGTCGCCCCAGCACCGCCGGCGTCGCTCCCCGCACCCACAGGTGCTAAAAGCACCATTCAGCTGCGCCGGAGCAACACCTTACAACGGCAAGGGTGTTAGATGGTCTGTAAAATGGAAACATGACTTGTATTGGCATGAGGGAGCCCAACCATCCATGCTGTGGCACCTTCAACCACCTGACAAACACTACGTAGACGGAAAACATTGAGGGACTAAGAAAAATTCATTGCTGCTACACTTTAAGACCAAAGAAAGCCCAAGATGCAGATATAAAAGAAAATAAAGCAGCAGCCAAGCATCGAAGCGATCGAACTTAATAGGCTCCCGAGTCAAGCTCTGTGATCGATGGTTTCTGGTCCAATTAACAAAAAGTGTGAAGCTGCATTCAGTATGATCAATGATCCTGAATGACGTTTCGTATTATCATTACCAATAATGCACACAAGGAGCGCCAAGTTAACGTGAAGAGTGTGTCTCCAAACGTGCAGTCTTAACATCTGGCCACTGCGTAGCTAGGTATGTAGTGTCAAAAAGGTGTACAGGGTCCAGTGACGCAATATTGGAAAATAAGGTCTTTCTGGCATATCTCCAAAAAAAAAGGTCAGCCACCTAATTTGCATGCCCGATTTGTTAGATTTTTTTTGCTTCCCTACATCAAAATTCAAGAGTGAAAACAAGTCCCTCGATTTCACCCAGGATTTTTCTCAGAACAAAGCTTATCCAAATTCACATCTACATTATGAATATCAAATCTGTTTTCCACTAGGCAATTTGAAGATGCCGATCTGTGATCAGATCAGAAGAATGCTCGATACAGGCAGGGAGAGGCAGTCTATCTGAGGCGTTTCAGAACAATGATGATTGCCCACTCGCAGTAAGAGAAGTGCGGTGTACACGTAGTCAATTAGTCGTGGCTACATACTTGTCTCTACCTGTCTCGCAACTCCGACGTTTTTGTGACAAGTAATGTCAGTGTCAGTCCTGGTTTTGGCCAGTGACGGGGATCGATGTGCTGCCGTCGAATTAATTCGTTGATTTTTGACAGGTTTAGTCGTAGTGGCAGTCTCGAATGCCGTATTAAGAATGAAAGGATATAGAGTTTCTCATTTAAATGCACGTAATTCGCTAAGGCAGGCAGAGCGCGACTCAAACGTTTTGTTGTCTTTAAATTTGTAGAATTTATGAGATCACTGAAGTAAATGATATCGTATTACACATAAACATGGAAATATACGCACAATTTTGGGGCTTGTGGCCGTGGTTGAATGGCAGGGAATTAATTCCGCAGCTCGAAATTTCAATGTGTCCACTTTTTTTCACTAGCCAAAAAAAAGACAAATTAATTAATGTATAACAAAGAGGAGTCTTTAGGTTAGTTTGCGCTCGTGTAAACACGACGATGTCTCATGCATGGACAAGCAGTTGAGAAGGAAACATAATACTGAGAAATTACGGCATATAAATTGCCCTTTCTGAATTCGTCTGAACGAACAGCTTTTTGACAGAAAAACTAAAGACATTGGACAACCCTGTGTATGTTTATGTTTTTCAAAACAAAGTGTCGTAAACTGAACCGGTACTTTAACTCGATACCAAGACTTTCAAAGAGTGAGAAACGTACTTTTGGTCTGTCTTATAAACTAACCACTGCTTATCGAATCTTCCATATTAAACGATAAAAGGCACCCTAGTGACCACTCGGGATAGATTTATCAATTTACGTCCCAAGCGCAGTCATATTGCGTTGCAGTACATTAAAGATTCGTGAAAGTTTAGAGTTACAGTTTTTCTACCTTACAGAATCTGAGTAGATATCCTCCTGTGATCATCGAAACAAAGAAACTTCAAACGCTAAATATCTTCCGAAAACCTTGATCAAAACCAAAAGCCCGCTAATATAAATCTTCAGCGGGTAGCATTACATTCTTCTGTAAGACTGGTGTCTCCCTCTCTCTTTTTCTCCAAGAGAAAAAAATTACAGGAAGTATTCACAGGTTCACCAGCCGCCATAATGGTTTTGTGGAAAGAATTAAAGTCTTTCCTTGTGTTGAGGTTATGTGCTTCGGTAATTATAAAGACCGCGGGCCTTTTCCAGCCTTGTCCTGTTGAGTTCGCTTCTCGCGCTGATTATAAAATCTCATTTTTGATTGTTATCCTGATTTTCTTCAGGAACGACAAACAATGCCGGGTAGCTATTGGCTATGTTTGTATTGAACGGCAGAGCAAACTGGTGCTTCTTTCAGGCACACGATCCTGTTGCTGCGTGAGATTTTCGCTGTCAGTAAAGGTTGACGGAGTCTCGCGAGAATCCTCGAGTTCCGTTGCCACAAGAAAGTGTGGTCTGTCATTGACCCTAACTGTATACAGAGGGCCCAAAGCATCAAACAGCTCTCGTCGTCTTGCTGTATTTCTGCGTCACTTAGTCCCTATTATCCGGTCAAAAGCTGCAGTGCTTCTTCCCTGAGGATTTCCACGGGTTCATAATGTTGGATATACATATTAACGAAAAACAAAAACATCGCTTCTACAGGGTAGGCTTTCAAACAAACTGAATGCTTATGTTTAAAAGGCGTTGTTTGAAAGCCTATTTGAAAGTGAGAGGAATGTTTATTTTTGTTTCAACCAAAACACAAATGATTGAGTTAAAGATGGGTTTGCCCGTGGAAGAAAAACAGATCCGTTGTTTTCATAATTCTCGCTGAACTTTACAAATGGACAGTATCACATACCCCGTAAAAATCGATGACCTAAATCTTCAGTGCTTTTGGGAAGCTTGGAAATTTCACCTTTATACCCTTTATACTCAGTATTAAATAACGCATTCGTCACTAGTTTAGACTCGGGTTTCAAAGTTTGGATATTTTCAAAGGCATTTTTTCCGGGATATCTAATGCAGTACTTCAATTCAATT